GCACTTGTTGATGAGAGTTGAAATAGAACGTTTTGCACTAATAATCCAATAGCCTCCGGCACGGATGGCCCCTTCCGTCAACTGTCGGCCTTGATGGTGTATACTTTCATGAAAATGATGAATAATAAGTGACGAAACATGGTGGTTCTTTGGAAGGATCACAGGATGGTGCGACAGGTCTAATGAATCATTTACAGGAGCGTGTTTGAGCCTTCCTCCTACTCGTACGAGTCCATCTGAACCTAGTATAGGAGACAGCTGAGCCAACTGGCTTTTTGATGTTATGCTTTTACCTTCTTGAAGCAACTTAATCTCGTCGGAAAAGGCATCCTGCTGAACTGAACGTAGTATTAAGTTTTCAGAGTCTCTTAGCAGATCGGGCGAAATAACTCCGTCTTGGTGCAGTTTCTTACGAATTACCGATTTTATAAAGGCAATGCTTCTGACGAGACGTGTCCATTGAGAAAACCTGTCGAATCTACTACATCCTAATGAAGTTTCATTAAATTCGATTTGGAGTTCTGTTTTCTTGCAGCTAACTGATGGACGAATTTCTTTGTCATTTTCTGGATCTACTAGTAAGTGATCGTGTTCATCCTGTTTGTCGTTAGTCACGAGCATGTCGGGGCCCTTTATCCAAAGACTCTCTGGAAGATCTATCGTGCTGATGGACCTAGTAGCCAAATCAGCTGGGTTTTCATTGGTAGACACATGAGACCACTGAGTAGGTTGACATGAAGAACGAATTCGACTGACTCTGTTACCAACATAAATGTAGAAGCGTCTTGTTTCGTTTGTCAGATATCCTAGTACTACACGACTGTCTGTATAATAATAAAAATCATCTGGGTTGATATCTAATTGATCTCGAATAATGTCGGGAAGCTCTGCTGCTAAGACTGCAGCACATAGTTCCAGACGAGGGATTGTGTGTCCGTGAGACGGGGCAACTTTGGCTTTTCCGAAAAGAAAGCTAATGTTAACAGTATTTGCACTATACAATTTAATATATGCAACAGCTGCAATTGCATCTTTAGAAGCGTCTGAGAATATGTGAACCTCTCGTTTAACACTATTGGCGAATGAAGGTCCATTGTACTTTCTAGATATACGCAAATTTTCAAGTTCGCTCAATGAATGTACCCACGATTCCCATTGCTGATTCAGTAATTCTGGAAGTGGATCATCCCAATCAATAGTAGATGAAGATGAAAGCATTTGACGCATGAGTAATTTGCCTCTAATGATAACTGGTGCAGCAAAGCCAATTGGGTCATACAGACTGTTGATTGTTGAAAGAACTCCGCGGCGTGTAAATGGCTTGATGTCGGAAGACACACTAAAGGTAAACTCGTCCAGTTCTGTGTCCCATGAGAGACCTAAGCTTCTCTGCATCGGGAGATCTGCCGATCCAAGGTCAAGGTCATCTGAATGAAATGCTTCTAGCACTAACCTGCTGTTAGATGCAACTTTATGCAATCTAAGTCTACCGTTTTCGTATAAAGTTTTCTTAGTTCTTTGAACAAGATCAATAACTCCCTCTGGAGTTGCACAAGAGGTAAGTCCATCATCTACGTAAAAGTTGTTGCTAACAAAGTCTTTCACATCAAGTTCAGCGCGTTGGACAGTTCGTCTCAGACCATACGTAGCCACTGCTGGGGACGGACTGTTTCCAAAGACGTGTACTAACATCTGATATTCTGTAAGTGGTTTTTCAAAATCGTTGTCCTTGTGCCACAGGAAGCGCAAGAAACGTCTATGTTCATCTATGACTCTGAAGTTATGAAACATTTGTTCGATATCAACGGTCACGGCGTAAGCCTCTTTCCTAAAACGGAGTAATATTCCAAGAAGGCTGTTATAAATGTCTGGACCTTTCAACAAGACGTCGTTCAAAGATAGTCCATGATGTTTTGCAGAAGAGTCAAAAACTACTCTTACACTCTCTGGTTTCCTCGGATGATACACTGCGAACATAGGCAAGTACCAGCACTCAGTACCTGGCGATAGTTTGGGTGCTATCTGGGCATGTTCTCGATCAAACAGTTTCTGCATAAAATCTAACACTTGTGTGCGCTTTACGGAGTTGCAACGTAAATTCATATCAAACGATTTAGCTCTACGCTCTGCAATTTGTTTGTTGTTTTCTAAAGAAGGTTTGTTGGGTTTAAAAGGTAGTGGAGCGATCCAGTGTCCATCATCTTGTTTGAAGAATCCCGATGACATTATATTCAAAAAGGTTTGATCCTCTATTGACACACCTTCCTTTTCGTCTAGTTTAGTCTTGTCGAAGATTGGGTCTAATTTAACTGACATCTTGCTATCACACGGAGACAATAATGTAGGTCGTCCGTTGCCTAAGATTACAGTTTTGTTTACATTAACTACTTTTTGTCCATGAAATCTACCAAGACATACATTGCCTACAATAACCCATCCTAAAGGTAAACGCTGTGCATACGGTACTTCGTCAGCTCCAACACGGTGTTCAATAACATGGTGTGCTCTAATAAGGTCACGGCCTATTAACATCTGTATTTCAGACTGATTGTCAATGTCAGGAATACAACTTGCTATGTCCATCATGTGCGGATAACTTGAAGCTACAACAGATGAGGGTATTTCCTCCCGATTGTTTGGAATGTCATTACATTCGATTATTTCAGGTACGTTAAGACAGAATGATCCGTCAAGCGACGCTAACACGTATCCGGAAGCTCTTCGTCCACTAGTAACGAACCTTCCTGCACAAGAAGCAAGTACATATTCGGTTTCAGTGTCGTTTTCTCGGAAGAAGTTGAAGAAATCTGACGTTGCTAAAGTCCAGTTACTTTGGTCATCGATCACACAGTAAACAGTTTTGAAATGATCTGGTCTATCAGAGTGATATACTTTGGCGAGTACAATCTTAGCACATGATTTACTGGTATTGTGTATCGAGTCACATATTTTGGTGCATTTGCTGCTAATCTGTTCCTTAGAATTCTCCTCCTCGTGCTTTTTCTGGGGTTCGGCTGTAATATCTACATGTAAGGCTGACGGATGGTCACGAGAACAACACACACTGCATTTGACATCCTCTTTACACTTGTCACGGAAATGTCTCTTAGGTCCGCAACACTTGAAACACAAACCTTTCTGCTTAATTAAATCAAGTCTCTCTGATAATGGTTTAGCACGGAAACCACGGCACGTGTTAAGTGTATGATTAGTTCCATGGAGGGGACACAAGTCCTCATTTTGCTTCTGAATAGGTGGTCTATTAACACTGTGTCCAATGTCGGTTTTAATGCTTGAAACTTGCGCAGGACTTCGAAAACGATTTTGTACCCTCGTTTGTCTAGATGTGGTCGGTTTGGTGTCTTGATTGTCATATAAAAATCCAGGGTCATTACGCACTTTAGCAATGTTTTGCAAGAATGGCACAAAGAAGGAGAATGGCGGATATGCTCCATGGTTTTTTGACTTATAACCATTGGCAGTAGTAGTCCATTTTTCTTTAATACTGTAAGGTAATCTGGTTACAAAACGATTCACACCTAGAGACGAATCAAAGTAAGCGAATGTGGTGGCAAACTTTTCATCTTTGCGAATAGACTCGATCTCAGCAGCTAAGTCCGCTAACTCGTAGAGTTCCTTTCGGTTATTGTTTGAAAGTTTCGGGAAGTTAACTATACGTGAGTGAAGTGACGACTCTATCATCTCTGGACTACCGAATCTAGCATCTAAGCGTTCCCATATAAGCCGCACTGCAGTAGCCGGATTATTGGCATTAGCACATCTAATGTTCTGAGCATGCTGTTTTGAGCTTGGTCCCAAAAACTTTATTAGAAGGTCCAACTGTTCCAAAGGATTTGTATCTAACTCGGTCATTATGTGTTGAAAACTAATTTTCCAAGATGAGTAATGTGAAGGCTGGTCATCAAATGATATGAGCCTAGATGTAATCAAGTCTTTCTTCACCATAAACTTGGCCAATTCTTGTGCTTCGTTCCTCTGGGTCGGAACAAAAGGTCGTGCTGTTGGATTCAATGGTCCTAAAGAATGAACAGGAATGTTAACACTGTTTGCTTGAAAGTCATTTTCGGTCAAATGAGAAGCATGCTGTGAGCGCTGTTGCTCCACAAATTCTGCTGTACGTCGTTCTGTAATGTTATGTGTATCTGGTACTTTAGAACTACGGTACTTTCTTTCATATATCCTGTCTACATCGGCATACTGAACTACCGGATTAGCAATTATTGGTGGTTCATAACTTTCATCATAGTCATTAGGATCATAATTCAAAGCCTTCTTAACGGCTTGCAATCCCGACTCAGCTTCGTCGACTTCTCGCTTCATAGAGAGGACGTTTCTCTCTGCTTTGAGTGTAGCTTCACGGTGCAACAGTTCTGCCTCCTCTTTGGCATATTTAAGTCGTGTCTTTGCGGTTTCCAGTTTCACAGTTTGTTTAAGAATCTCTGATTGAGCACTTAGTGACGAGTTTCTTGTTGACCCAGTATGACGGGAACTATGATGGGAGCTACGACTTTTAAGAGTTCGTTCACTATCTTGTTTGGATCTACTAGGTAGTAATTCACTAAGATGTTGTTTGACGACGGATATTTTGGCCTTTAACGCATAGAATGACACTTTAAATGATGCATGCTCGATTTCACTTTCTTTTGTCCTATATGATTTTAAGAAATCAAAATATGTGTTAGCTTCTTTTTCAAACTTTTCTGATAGTTTTGAAATTTCATCTCTGTACGTCGACGCTGTGGAGAGGTCCACCACTGGATTATCTTCTACGTCTAGTATAATAGCGTCGATATCTCTCCTAATAGTTCTAATAATGTATTGATGTCGTTCATTAGACTGTTGGAAAAGGTGATCTCCATCAGATGTAAGTGTTCTAGAAGTTCTTAACTCTCTTTCAGAAACGGATTCTGACTGTGACATGTTGAATCTATCTTGGGTTTATCTCTATTATGTAGATTTTTCACTGTACTGATAAGTCGTTGAGAGATCAACAGTTTATTGGTATACAGACCCCCGGAGAGGGTGAAAAACTGAAAGTACAAAATAACAATCATAAGCATACTATTAAGGCAACACTTATACAATAAATGTCAAATAGTAGTACATTCACAAAGAAAATGGTTATACAGTTCAATACAAGTAACTCTTGTACACTACACTTCGAAATACAACATAAATATATCAGAAAAAGTTTGCACACACGTATCTAAATATGCAAGAAGATTGAAAGGTTGCATTTGTCATTGACTGTACTCTTCATACCACGCACGATATAAATTTTACACACGTTGAGACTGTGCGGGACTGTATTTCTAGAAAATTCGAGCGTGACCCTTGTCTACATCAATAAAACACAAAAATAAATCCTAACATGTGGGATTGACAAATAATGAATGGAATTTAAGGGGGAAATGCATACATAAAAAATACAATCAGTACTGTATATTCACAGCGGCAATATTTACTCATGTCGTGTGTAAATGAACACCAATAATCAAATATGAAGTTGCATAAAATGTATAATTAAACAATATGCACAACGATATAAAAAATGAGCACAAATATAAAAGGTTAACTTACTCTAGTGGTGGATAAAACTTCCAAGTAGAAAAACAACGTGTTTCAGTTTTGACAATAATCGAGGGATTGAAGAGACTGGGGAATGAAATGATAAGAAAGGGACGACATGGTCAATTCGGCACTTAATCAAAACAGTACACTCCTCCTCTGATTTCTTTATGAAATCACTACATTTTCAAAATTAAAAGATAATGTCATATGACAAATTAACATGTGTTTCCCTAACAATGTTATACTAATTGTTCGTGTATTAAATGTGATTGAATAAAACACAATGTCACTATTATAGTCAGTCAGCTTCAAGGAGAGTAACCAATTCGGTAATTGGTCTGGAATAAGTTGTGCGCTTTCCGTCTTTGACGATGGCGACTTCCACTTTACGAATTTTGCCATCCGAGCTTGGAAATACCCTGTCCACAAGTCCTACGGGCCATGAATTACGTGGCGCATCCTGATCTTTCATGAGAATTAAGTCACCAACTTGTAGATTACGACGGTCAGTTTGCCACTTTGTACGAATCTGAAGTTCATGAAGATATTCGGATTTCCATCTTACTCTAGTGGTGGATAAAACTTCCAAGTAGAAAAACAACGTGTTTCAGTTTTGACAATAATCGAGGGATTGAAGAGACTGGGGAATGAAATGATAAGAAAGGGACGACATGGTCAATTCGGCACTTAATCAAAACAGTACAAGACTAATGAATGCTTAGTCACCCAATGGATTATTTTGCATGTTCTACGTTAAAAGTATGTGGCAGCTGTTGTAGTGTTTACAATGAAACTGCAAAAACTATCTCGACTAGTGTACCTGTGAAATCTGGTTCCAAATCATATCGCCTGGGACCTTTCTTTTTTGTAGGTGGACCATCATCCGACTGCACAAGTTTACTTTTTTTATTCCACTTCCATCGAATATTACGGACTTTTTGTGAAAGCCGTGAAGTAAAATGTGCCTAAAAGACAAAGCATTTAAATGAAAATTTACAAATTACCATACAGGAGTAGACTCCAAAAATTAACAACAATTACATGGTACATGTCACCCAAAAATCATAATTTAAAAAGGTATGTATCTAAACATTGTTGTTTTTCATGTAGCGAAATGTATTTGGTCTTCTCTTAAAAAATACAGTAATGAATACACACAATAATTTCTTAATTGAATTTAAATTGATGCTCTGACTAATAGCCACAGTCAAATCGGAATATCGACTTTAAATGCATAGTTTTACGATACAGGTTTGATCCGATAGTGATTTTCTGACGAAAATTTATTTAAAGCTATTTTTTTAACTGGTCAATTAAGATATGTTACAAAACGGTCGAGATCCCCACCCCTAAACCATAAATATTCTTCTATGGGACAATAAAACAAAATATAGGGGAAGTCCACGGGGGTCACCCCACCCTCATCTTTTTGAAAACTTGCAAACAGTCGAGATCCCCACCCCAAAACCATATATATTCTTTTATGGGCCCGGACAATAAAACAAATCTTTAGGTATTCGTTTAAAACCTCATTTAACCACATCTGATTTAAAATCTGTTGCACAAGTTGAAACTTGCAAATGCCCTCCATGGGAACTTCCAAAGCCGAAAATGATATTTGACCTCCGTAAATACAAAACAAAACGAAACAAACCCTCTTGTAATTCAACAACATTTTGCTGAAATTAAGGCAAATTATTCAGATTTTTCAACTGTTTTCACTCCGCGGCGTGTAAATGGCTTGATGTCGGAAGACACACTAAAGGTAAACTCGTCCAGTTCTGTGTCCCATGAGAGACCTAAGCTTCTCTGCATCGGGAGATCTGCCGATCCAAGGTCAAGGTCTTTGAGATTTTTGGCAAGGTCATCTGAATGAAATGCTTCTAGCACTAACCTGCTGTTAGATGCAACTTTATGCAATCTAAGTCTACCGTTTTCGTATAAAGTTTTCTTAGTTCTTTGAACAAGATCAATAACTCCCTCTGGAGTTGCACAAGAGGTAAGTCCATCATCTACGTAAAAGTTGTTGCTAACAAAGTCTTTCACATCAAGTTCAGCGCGTTGGACAGTTCGTCTCAGACCATACGTAGCCACTGCTGGGGACGGACTGTTTCCAAAGACGTGTACTAACATCTGATATTCTGTAAGTGGTTTTTCAAAATCGTTGTCCTTGTGCCACAGGAAGCGCAAGAAACGTCTATGTTCATCTATGACTCTGAAGTTATGAAACATTTGTTCGATATCAACGGTCACGGCGTAAGCCTCTTTCCTAAAACGGAGTAATATTCCAAGAAGGCTGTTATAAATGTCTGGACCTTTCAACAAGACGTCGTTCAAAGATAGTCCATGATGTTTTGCAGAAGAGTCAAAAACTACTCTTACACTCTCTGGTTTCCTCGGATGATACACTGCGAACATAGGCAAGTACCAGCACTCAGTACCTGGCGATAGTTTGGGTGCTATCTGGGCATGTTCTCGATCAAACAGTTTCTGCATAAAATCTAACACTTGTGTGCGCTTTACGGAGTTGCAACGTAAATTCATATCAAACGATTTAGCTCTACGCTCTGCAATTTGTTTGTTGTTTTCTAAAGAAGGTTTGTTGGGTTTAAAAGGTAGTGGAGCGATCCAGTGTCCATCATCTTGTTTGAAGAATCCCGATGACATTATATTCAAAAAGGTTTGATCCTCTATTGACACACCTTCCTTTTCGTCTAGTTTAGTCTTGTCGAAGATTGGGTCTAATTTAACTGACATCTTGCTATCACACGGAGACAATAATGTAGGTCGTCCGTTGCCTAAGATTACAGTTTTGTTTACATTAACTACTTTTTGTCCATGAAATCTACCAAGACATACATTGCCTACAATAACCCATCCTAAAGGTAAACGCTGTGCATACGGTACTTCGTCAGCTCCAACACGGTGTTCAATAACATGGTGTGCTCTAATAAGGTCACGGCCTATTAACATCTGTATTTCAGACTGATTGTCAATGTCAGGAATACAACTTGCTATGTCCATCATGTGCGGATAACTTGAAGCTACAACAGATGAGGGTATTTCCTCCCGATTGTTTGGAATGTCATTACATTCGATTATTTCAGGTACGTTAAGACAGAATGATCCGTCAAGCGACGCTAACACGTATCCGGAAGCTCTTCGTCCACTAGTAACGAACCTTCCTGCACAAGAAGCAAGTACATATTCGGTTTCAGTGTCGTTTTCTCGGAAGAAGTTGAAGAAATCTGACGTTGCTAAAGTCCAGTTACTTTGGTCATCGATCACACAGTAAACAGTTTTGAAATGATCTGGTCTATCAGAGTGATATACTTTGGCGAGTACTATCTTAGCACATGATTTACTGGTATTGTGTATCGAGTCACATATTTTGGTGCATTTGCTGCTAATCTGTTCCTTAGAATTCTCCTCCTCGTGCTTTTTCTGGGGTTCGGCTGTAATATCTACATGTAAGGCTGACGGATGGTCACGAGAACAACACACACTGCATTTGACATCCTCTTTACACTTGTCACGGAAATGTCTCTTAGGTCCGCAACACTTGAAACACAAACCTTTCTGCTTAATTAAATCAAGTCTCTCTGATAATGGTTTAGCACGGAAACCACGGCACGTGTTAAGTGTATGATTAGTTCCATGGAGGGGACACAAGTCCTCATTTTGCTTCTGAATAGGTGGTCTATTAACACTGTGTCCAATGTCGGTTTTAATGCTTGAAACTTGCGCAGGACTTCGAAAACGATTTTGTACCCTCGTTTGTCTAGATGTGGTCGGTTTGGTGTCTTGATTGTCATATAAAAATCCAGGGTCATTACGCACTTTAGCAATGTTTTGCAAGAATGGCACAAAGAAGGAGAATGGCGGATATGCTCCATGGTTTTTTGACTTATAACCATTGGCAGTAGTAGTCCATTTTTCTTGAATACTGTAAGGTAATCTGGTTACAAAACGATTCACACCTAGAGACGAATCAAAGTAAGCGAATGTGGTGGCAAACTTTTCATCTTTGCGAATAGACTCGATCTCAGCAGCTAAGTCCGCTAACTCGTAGAGTTCCTTTCGGTTATTGTTTGAAAGTTTCGGGAAGTTAACTATACGTGAGTGAAGTGACGACTCTATCATCTCTGGACTACCGAATCTAGCATCTAAGCGTTCCCATATAAGCCGCACTGCAGTAGCCGGATTATTGGCATTAGCACATCTAATGTTCTGAGCATGCTGTTTTGAGCTTGGTCCCAAAAACTTTATTAGAAGGTCCAACTGTTCCAAAGGATTTGTATCTAACTCGGTCATTATGTGTTGAAAACTAATTTTCCAAGATGAGTAATGTGAAGGCTGGTCATCAAATGATATGAGCCTAGATGTAATCAAGTCTTTCTTCACCATAAACTTGGCCAATTCTTGTGCTTCGTTCCTCTGGGTCGGAACAAAAGGTCGTGCTGTTGGATTCAATGGTCCTAAAGAATGAACAGGAATGTTAACACTGTTTGCTTGAAAGTCATTTTCGGTCAAATGAGAAGCATGCTGTGAGCGCTGTTGCTCCACAAATTCTGCTGTACGTCGTTCTGTAATGTTATGTGTATCTGGTACTTTAGAACTACGGTACTTTCTTTCATATATCCTGTCTACATCGGCATACTGAACTACCGGATTAGCAATTATTGGTGGTTCATAACTTTCATCATAGTCATTAGGATCATAATTCAAAGCCTTCTTAACGGCTTGCAATCCCGACTCAGCTTCGTCGACTTCTCGCTTCATAGAGAGGACGTTTCTCTCTGCTTTGAGTGTAGCTTCACGGTGCAACAGTTCTGCCTCCTCTTTGGCATATTTAAGTCGTGTCTTTGCGGTTTCCAGTTTCACAGTTTGTTTAAGAATCTCTGATTGAGCACTTAGTGACGAGTTTCTTGTTGACCCAGTATGACGGGAACTATGATGGGAGCTACGACTTTTAAGAGTTCGTTCACTATCTTGTTTGGATCTACTAGGTAGTAATTCACTAAGATGTTGTTTGACGACGGATATTTTGGCCTTTAACGCATAGAATGACACTTTAAATGATGCATGCTCGATTTCACTTTCTTTTGTCCTATATGATTTTAAGAAATCAAAATATGTGTTAGCTTCTTTTTCAAACTTTTCTGATAGTTTTGAAATTTCATCTCTGTACGTCGACGCTGTGGAGAGGTCCACCACTGGATTATCTTCTACGTCTAGTATAATAGCGTCGATATCTCTCCTAATAGTTCTAATAATGTATTGATGTCGTTCATTAGACTGTTGGAAAAGGTGATCTCCATCAGATGTAAGTGTTCTAGAAGTTCTTAACTCTCTTTCAGAAACGGATTCTGACTGTGACATGTTGAATCTATCTTGGGTTTATCTCTATTATGTAGATTTTTCACTGTACTGATAAGTCGTTGAGAGATCAACAGTTTATTGGTATACAGACCCCCGGAGAGGGTGAAAAACTGAAAGTACAAAATAACAATCATAAGCATACTATTAAGGCAACACTTATACAATAAATGTCAA